AACCTTCTTCTTCTTCACTATCCCACCTCTTCCTACTTCACCATCATCATTCGCCTTACCTGCCTTCTCTCTTTCCGTCTACAACCCTCTCCTCAAGTCACTTCCTTCCAAGCCAATTGCCATTAGCCATAGTCGATAGCATCTGGAGACTACCTTATTAAGGAAGAAGACAAGACCTCGGTCCGATAGCCCAAAGCCAAAGCCATCTGTGACTCGTCAAGCAAGCCAACCAGCCAGCACCGAGCATCACACACCATCGGGCCTCGACCATTGACTTTGACGACGACCTCGACGCCGGACTCCTCTTGTCTCGAAGTTGTCTGCAAACCGAGCCTTTGTCGCCTACCGCTTCCGCGTTTGCATAGACTTGAAAGAGCCCTTACCAACGCTAGCTACCCCCTTTTTTGGCGACTTAACGTTGCCTGGCGATATACCTCCGACTTACGCTCCTCAGACCCACGACATTCTACCCTCAGACAAACCTTCTTCTGCGTGCCGCCACAATTATCAAGAGCCTCCGGGTTACTAGTTGGACGACTGCTGTTGAACACTGAAGGCTGAGAAGTCATCTCTCCGGCTACATGTACTGGAGAGACGGTCCCACCCGCAACTGATCCCGAGCGACCCCCTGGAGATCAGGTACTTGATTAAAGTGCCAGCAACTCGCTCACACAGCCTCTTATCCACTCAATTCCGGGGTCCTCCCAGCACCCGAGATCCATCACCTGACGGCAGTGCCGTACGTCTCGACGAGTCCCCTCGCCTCGTGTCCCGGACTTCGTCATCCTCCCGCTCTCCAACTCGTGCCGACCTTGTTACTCAACTCGGAGGACATCATATTGCTATCGGGACGACCTTGCTGTATGGAGGCAGCATCGTCTTCCCTCGCCCAACTCACCTCAAGTACACTTCTTCGCTGAACACGCTTCTTTTTCGAACCACGTCGGTCTTTATTACAACGTACAACTTCTTCAATGTGCCTTTGACAAGCTTCCTTTTGTTCCCTCAACTCGTCAGGGCTTCTTTACCATAACCATCACGCTTCTATTTTATTTCATTTGTTATCCTACTACACACCGGATCTGAGTACCTATCGATGAGCATCCGAAACTGAACGAACTGGAGTTTGATTGCCTTGTTTCCTCCACCCGCATCTTGTACATCGCCTTTTTCTCGACCTCGCGCTCCTCTCCGACATATTACCCCGGGGCCCATCACATTATACCTCGAAATCATCCGCACCTTCCGCCGACATCTGTTCGAGTTCGTCAAGCTGTACACAATTGGTAAAAGTTACATGGTTTCGGAAATTGCTAGGCAGCATCATCATTCTACATCGACATAGATTGGCCTAGGATTCACGGCAAAAGCATCTCAGGGTGTACCACCACGCTTTTCTTAATTCGCAAGCTACATCTTTTCTAATCCTTCGATACTTTCCACACGACAATGGAGTGCTTGCGAGACGAGTTCACCGACGGCGTCGTCCTGGATGGACGGTACAACACCCTCTCACCACTTAACCATGGATCTTTCGGCATGGTGTTCAAGGCCAAAGACATGACCACCGGGGACACCGTTGCTATCAAGTGCCTGACGAAGAAGTCGGCTGCCGATGAAGCTGGCGTAGATTTCGCTATCGACGACAAGTACGAAGAGCTCATACTTCACCGTCGCCTCGGCCAGCATCCGAACATCGTCAACCTGGTCAACTCGTTCGAGACGGAGGCTCATGTGTACTTGGTCCTTGAGTTCTGTGAACAAGGTGACCTTTACGAAGCTATCCGTGTTGGTCAGGGGCCTCTCGAGACCGAGCATGTACGCCGCTTTATGTTGCAACTCGTTGATGCGGTTGCCTACATACACTCCAAGGGTATCTATCACCGTGACATCAAGCCGGAGAACATCTTCCTCAGCAAGGATGGTTCATTGAAGCTGGGCGACTTTGGGCTGGCTACCACCGACACATGGACTTATGAGACGGCCGTTGGGAGCGATCGCTACATGTCGCCAGAACAGTATGACTCTGCCGGCGCTGGATACTCGCCCGCGCAGGCCGACATCTGGGCCATTGGCGTCTGCCTTCTTAATGTCCTCTTCTCCCGCAACCCTTTCACCACGCCGACCGAGTCTGACCCCTTGTTCTTGGACTTCTCTCGCGATAAGCAATCACTCTTTGATGTCTTCCCGTCCATGTCCCAAGACACCTACGAGGTCATAGTCGAGTGTATGAGCATGGACCCGAGCAAGAGGTCACTCATTGGAGCTCGGAGGGCACTTAACCGTCTCGTGAACTTCACCACCCTTGATGAAGGTGACGATGACTTCTGCTCCGCGCAGCGGGACACCATTGCCACGGCCAACCGTGAGCCCCTTCGCACACCATCAATCCAGAGTCCCCAGGTCGAGGCTGGCGCTTTCCCGTGGGCCAAGGCATTGGCTCAGCCCATCCGCCAGCTCAGCGCTATTCCCGACGACGAGAGCTACACCGAAGATCTCTTCTCGAAGTCCGCGGCTACGAACTCCGATTGGTTCTCTACTGTGACTCCGTCTCTCTCCTCGTACGCAGACTCGAGCCTCCCTGCCTCCATGCAGTCGCTCCGTATCAACCATCCCAGGATGGCTAGACCTGCTACAAAGATTTCCCCGATGGCTGGCTCTCTGCCCATTTCTATGTCCAAGCCGCGCAACATCCCTTCCATGTCCATGGTCTTCGGAGGAAAGGATACTGTGTCCAAGAGCTGGAGCGATCTCTGGGAAGAGGAGGAGGAGGAACACCAGCAAGAGGAGAGGGCGCGCCAACTCCAAGCCCTGAAGATGATGAACTCAAGGACTTGGAGCCAGGATAGCAAGGTGGACGAGGATGACACGCCTCGCCGCGGCTTGTCTCCTGTCGTGAAGTCTTCCGTCATCAACGTTGAGCCGCAAGCGCCTCACGTCGAAGATGCCATCGATGTTGATGGTGATCTACCGGACGGCTTCTTCTTCCACGACGACCACCCGGTGAAGCACCAAGAGTTATACCCCGAAAATCAGTCCCCGCCCAAGAGGGATTCCGTGGACAAGTGGGCCAAGCTTGGAGAACGGCGCCGCGCGTACACCGGCAATCGGGAGTCGATGCCCAAGCCTGACTTCACTCTGAAGACGGGGCATCAGACAGGGATGTTCTATGGCCTTGGGGCTGTAGAGGATCACAGCCCCACACACCACAACAACAATTTCACGTTCGCCAACCATCACGGCCATATGTTGAACGGCAAGCATCAGCCAACCCGGGAACGGGTCAAGGAGTGCCCTTGGAGCAAGAGCAAAGGGCGAGATTTCAACTGGAACTGGCGCCGGGAGAAGCGCCTCGAGTGGGTTGGTGCCAGCCCGGCATAGCCGGCGGTCACCACTTGTAGTTGGGCTATCATTGTCTTTTTTCTTCATTTATCTCGACACCATCTGAATGGTGGGAATGGTGTGCTTGTGGGTCTCTCATCGCCCTTCACCGGAACGTTTTACGCCTCGTGTTTGCCGCTCTGGGAAGTTGCATTTCCTACTTCGTTTCTCAAGTTAAAAGAGTTTTGGGTTTGTCGTCACTGCATCGCGCTTGGGGTTGAGGTTGAGGGATTTTCAACGTGCATTGGGAGTCGGTACTTGTTATTATTATTCTGTTTGCATCCTTTTTGGGTTGGAAAACACCACAAAAACATATGATTCATGGAAAGGCGGCATAGCGGCAAACTTGAGAGGCACCGGGAGGAACATGAGAGACTGGACAACACGAAGCAAGCACACTATCGAGATGAAAAGAGAGGCAACCTGATCTTGCCTTACTCGCTTTCTGCGTATTAGATATCTCCACACAATCAGTCACACAATACCAGAATTTACCCACTACAGTAACTGTTTGATGTGCACTTTGCGAATCGTGAGACTGTACTGATGCGGTACCGCCGTCAATGCGGTAGGTGTCTAGGTATGCTGACTCAATGGTGGCGGGAATAGGACAACGCTTCCACTCCCAGCCGTTCAGTCTGCCATTTCTATACGACCGAGACTCTCCACAGAGCTGTGACACTTGTGCTATGCAGCAAGTGTCCGGTTCCACAGTCGTGGTCCTCACACGATATATCCCTTCATGTTATCACTACCTAGGTACCTAGGTAGCCTGTGGGACAGATCGGGACGGCTAGATAGATGAGTTCGACTCAACGTTCCGAAGCAACAATTGATGGAGAGCAGATGGCGACTGTCACGTGATGTGCTCACTTCGTGAACACATGTAGGTTACACTAGTTATCATCCTCGCGTCTAAGGGACTCTGGCCTCAGGTTTTCCCTCGAGGGCTGTAGATAGCCGGCTGGTGTTGTACCTGTTGTAATCTATATACGCATCTTATTGCCTTTCTTCCCAGGTATGTTATCCCCTCTATGGCCTGCTTTACTTAGCCTTGCTGTAACCGGGCATCAAAATTGTTCCAGCTCTTGCTTTCAGTATCCTCGGCGGCTGGAACGCGAGTGCATGGAAGTTCGAAAACAAAAGGCCCACGTGCCATGTAGTGGCTCAGCAGTACGTAGCGAGGGGGCAAGATTGTAAGGGGGTTCGAGATTACGCTAGGACAATCTCCCCGGAATATTGGGAAGGCCCCGTGCCTGCGTGTCTTCCCCCCCAACGTGGAGCGACAGGCCTACCCCGGGGAGCTGCAGTGACTTGAAACCACCTCGAAGCTTACGATGACGTTGCTACCTATGCTTATCATGCCAACGAAGAAGAGATTAGCGGGTCGATTGACACAGCCAACACGGGGCCGTTCTGATATACACTAGGTAACCACCCGTGCAATATGCAAGGAATGCATTAGGATCGAGTCAGGCATGAGTTGGATTATCAGATAAACCAGCACAAGCCCGGCATTGGGGGGCCGATATCAACCTCGGAAGTGGAAAGATAACAAAACAGCTCCACCCAGCAGGGACCAGAAAAAGATAAGGCCGTGCGATCCACGGGCAAAAATGTGAGGGACGAGCGATTTGAACGCTCAACCTTGAGGAATCTCCTTAGTTGTCATCAGACGAGGACAGCAACTGGAATCTCACGCGCTACCGTTGCGCCAGCCCCCCCACTGATTGTTGACATCCATTTGGAATTAGGGTGTTATAATCGTGAATGCGTGGAGATTCGGGATGCGAGCCATCCTTCGGGCTTCATGTCTCACCAATCGATGTTGTGGGTCCACACACAGAACGTATGCACCAGTGAAATGGCAAAGTTACGCAACACTACAAACTTCTTGGGGAGTCCAAGACAGGAAGAGAAAACCACAGTGACAGATGGGGAGATATTGTCGCAAGCCACGACCACTTAGGTGTTTGTCTATAACATATCCTGGATCACCATACCAGGGTATTAGGCATGACATCTTATAGTATTTAAATCACCCCGGTTAACTTGCTGGAGACGAATCCGTAATGAATATAATCGCATACGTGTAATTCACATGAGCTTACCTAGCACTTGAGGCAGCCATTATAGTTGTATGATCGAGGTTACTTGATTGGGCTGAGAGCGTTGGAAGCCATGGATCATCTCTACACGTAATATGAAAACCTACATGATGTAACGCAAGAAATTATGGCCAATATGATCTAGTAATTATGGTAGATCTGTAACCTCTCAGTACATTGACCTTGGAAATTACAGTCTGAGCCTCTCTCTTCTCCAGCATTCTCCGCATATGCACTCTTTTGGCGTATTCCGTTGGAAGGATGATCTCCTTGCGAGATGGAAATCAGTGGTAAGCTCAAGTGTTCCCAACTCTCGTAACAAAGAATCAGAGGTTAGAAATATTTTTCACTTTTACGATGACTTTTATATACATACTTTGTACGTGGCCGACCGAACAAATCCAGTCAATCAGCAGAGACGTCGAACAACTTGTTACCACATGACTCCTAATGAGGTCTCGGAGACAACTTGAAACGATCTCTTAGGTCTCTTGAACGTTGGAAACTCTCCAGGGCATGAATACTCTGAAGATGTCCCAATTCGGCCCCCAGAATGCCCTCAACCAGCCAACGGAGCTTTTTTATGTCCTCAATTAAGGCGATTTCTCGAGTGCTATCAAAGCTACTCTTCCCTTCTCACCCCTTCACCCAGATGACTAGGCTCCGCCTGCACTACAACACCTTGTCCCATGGCCAGGTGAAGACCTTCCCGTAGTAAACACCGCATTCGGTGCAACGAGTCCTCTTCACTATGTCGTCTGACGCGGGCGAGCAGATGCGCAGGTGGATCTGCACCGCCTCCAGTCTTCCCTGTCCATCGCAGTGCCAGCAATTCAGCGTGGAGACGGAAGGTTTCCTGTGCAGCAACAATCGCTCCCTCCCCCTTTCCTAGTGATAACGGTGGCTATACCAGAAAGCGAAGTGTATGAGGACAACAGTTGAGGTCAAGAGCCCAGCGTTGAGCTGGCGAGCGTCAGGGCTCTGGTGAGGCAGACCCCTTCACCGCGTCCCCCAACGTAGCGGTGGTCAATGAGAGGTGGGCTTGAAAAAACCCTGTGGTCTCATAGAAAAAGAAGAAAACATGCCCCCCGCCAGGCCTTCGGCTGTGCTCTGTGCCTTCGACCGTGAGACGGCCACAGCCCTTGAACCAGTCGAGTGAGGTGGCTAGGAGCCCCCAGTCGCCCGGCGCCCATGTATCCGCGGCGTGCGTGGGTAAGTTGAGCTTTTCGGGCGCTCCTCCTGTCATGGTGCACACGCATCCTCCAAGCAAACAGGGACTTTTCCGCCATCCTCTCTTCCAAGAGGACATTCTGCAGCCGCATGAAGGCGCGGCTGGCGCCCTCGAAATACTGCAGTCCCATCGTGAAGTCGAAGATGCCCAGCATACTGTAAGCGATGTCCTCCCCCCGCGCCGTCTTACGCCCGGCCATCTACCTCATCTTGACGGCTATGTAAGGCCTTTTGAAAGTTTCTGGCCCCTGGCGCTTACTTCCTGTGGAACCCCCTCTCTACAACTTGGCACTGTTCATAACGCCAGCCCATCTGGGCGCTTCAGCTCCTTGACATCAGTGTGTGTGCATTCAAAGGCTCCTTAATGCAAAGGACATACCACCCATCAGCATATTGCAGGCCCCGCCTGTCAAGTTTCACACTCGCCTGGAAGAAAATCTAGATTGTCCCCTGGACATCTTTCACAAGGCTTTATCAACGTATGAAATCGTTTTTCTGATAGGTTTCCCCATAAATAAAGTAATGCTTCTTTTTGCCATCTATGAATGTATTGGGTCTATCACGCGCGTACTCGTGGACGACATATTGGGGTCTGTGTTCGAGCGTAACTTGAGAAGTGACAGCTTCGTGGGAGCCGTTGTCATAACAGAGCCGTGCGCTTCGTCACAGTGCCACCAGAACGGTCTTGACTCAAAGGTTGTGTTACTGATCTCGAGAATATGAGCTCAATCCCGATCGCACCTTTCGTGGGCACTATCGAAAGGACATCTGCGTCATGCCTTAGACCGGCGCGTGAAGGAATGGGTATATTCTCCGGCTGCCATGAAACAGCGTCTCCATTGACCGAGATTCGGGATCGATTTGAGATGCGAGGCCTTGGATGCCTGTATTCTCAAAGGCAGACCGCAACAAACCTTCGACCCCCTTCATAGGGATTTTAATGACGACATTCGGCATCGTTCGCTTCTTAGTCCACATCCAGTCGCACGGCCGGGGCGTTCTGAACAAAGTTCAGGTCCAGCTTATGACCGAGAAGCTCGCGAATGTTCGATATACCATATTTGATCATCGTGGGCCGCTCTAACGAGAGTCCCCAACCGTACACCCGCATATCCTTCCTGTATGGTCATGGACAAATTAGCATTTTATTTTAGAGGCATGAAGCAAGTGAAGAATCTAGCATTGCGAAGGAGCGCATAGGGGAGTCTGGATTGTGACTTACGGGAAACCCATGGCCTCCAACATTTCTGGACGGAACATTCCGCTGTTGCCCACCTCAATCAGTTTGTTCAGGCCCTCGTGGAACGCGAAGATTTCCATGCTGGGCTCAGTATCTAAGTAAAGACGTTAGAGGAGCGTCGTCGTCGCTTGCCACGAATGCCGCAAGGAGAATGAGGCTTCCCAAGCCCGAAAGGTCAATACATACAAGGGTTATATGCCGGCTTGAAGCGGAGTCCGGTCAGACCCATCTTGGCGAAGAATAGCTCAATGAACTAGGAAATGATGTTAGTATTGATGTTCCGCAAATCAAAGTCGAAGATAGGGTGACTTGCTTCCATTAGACCGCCCAGTGTCAAATCGTAATCGGCAATAACACCTTCAACCTGGTGGAATTCGGCAAGATGGGTCGCGTCGACAGATTCGTTTCTGAAAACACGGTCGATCGAAAAGTAACGGGCTGGCGGTGGGCGGCCGTCAGGTCCTTTTTTGGCGGCAAGCTTGTGTAGCATTCTTGCACTGACGGCCGTCGTGTGCGTCCTTAGCACAAGCCTCAGTGCCTCGTCAGCTGCCCAGGGGTACCTGTAGCCTACTGAACCATACTTGCCCTCCTGTTTCGTGGTAGTAAGGGAGTCAGTCGGGGTTCAACTCCAATAGAACGTAGCTGTTAGGCATGTGTGGAGCTGTGGGATACCAACCTGGTGCACTGCCCTCACGTTCTCCCAATAAGCCTCATAGTCCTCTTTATCGTCAGCTGACGTTGCCCGTGGCCTGTCGGCCACCTTAGGGTCGGAGATGTAGAACTACAATTCGGAGACAGTGTCAGTCTGGTACCATTGGAAAGTATTCGGCTGATCTCGTGATAAAAATCCCTAAGGACCAAAATTCGAGGAATAGGAAGCGTACGGTATCTTGCAGATCGCGTGCTGGGTGCTGCTGCGGTACAAACAGGGTGTCGAAATTCCAGAAACACGATTCAACAAAGCTAGAGGTCCACGTTAGCAGGATAATCGATGAGATAGCAGGTGGGTGCTGCGTGGAGTCAACTTCTGACTAACTTGTCTGTGGGCATTTCCTCGAATCCCGTCTCGAAGAAGATTTGCCTGACCTCTGTCCGGACCTTGTTGAGTGGATGAAGCGCGCCTCCTTGTGTTTTTGCCCCCAATGCCTTGAAGTTGTACGGCTTGAAGGTAGCTGTCTTCCACGAGCCATTCGTGAGCATGTCAGCAGTCAGATCGGTGGCCTCCTCAGGAATGCTGAGGGCGAACTTGGCTGCCTTGTAGATTTCGAAGCTGAAGATCTTGTGTGTCTTAACGAGCTTGCGCTTCTTCAGATCTGCGAGGACCTTCTTGTCGGGGAACGCGCCGGTGTCCTTGACGGTCTGTAGCTGCTCCTTGGTGACATCTTGTACCGATTCTCGCTGTTGCGGTAGGAATGACACAAGTTAGCCAATGACTTGTATGCGAGAATGCTAGGTCATAACCCTACCACTGCCTTGAGCTTTCCATCTGTAAGTGTTCAGGTTAGCTATTGCCCAAGGTGCTTGACTGTGAGAATTGCTCGGAGGGCTGTACACGCACCTGCAGTTTTGGCAATCCATTTATCCTTAAAGGCCCGACCCTGTCCGACCTTCGTGATGTTCTTATCTCCAATGGCTTGTTCCAATTCCTGCACCGTCAAACCTGCCTCTCCAGCGGCCTGCAATGCCTTGAAGACACGCACTTCGTGGCTGCCATTGGCGACAATACCCTCGGCTTCCTCTTCCAGGGCGACCACTTCTTTCTCAATGGTGTCGAAGCGTACCATCTCTCGCGAGGCCAGCTTGTCGAGGGCTGCCTTGAGCTCGGTGAAGGTTGAGGCCGGGAAGGCCTTCGCGGACAGCAGTGGCTCATTTGGAGTCTGGTCAAGCGTCTTGAGTATTTGGACGGCGACGTCTCCGTCTGCACCGTCTTGCCCCGAGGGGATCGGGTTCTTGGTTCGGATCTCCATTGCAAGGTTTCGGGAGGCGGCTTCTTCTTCTGTTGTGTCTGTCGGCAATCTGGCTCGCCGTCGTTCGCTTGTCAAAGCTTCCAGGAATCACGTACTCTAGAAAAAGTACTGAGTCACAACAAGAAGCGGGACGTCAACTGCTCCCCGCGGTTCCTGGCGGCAGGCACGCTTGCGGCACA